TAACGATTCGATGAAAGTTTATGAAACGTTCCATTTAAAATTGTTAAAACATTTCATGAATATTTGAAAGAAAAGTATCATTGATATACCTTAATTAATTTTGGTATGAAATTATTTAGAATTATTGCTTTTGTAAATTAAAAATGAAAAATGTTTAAAACAGAACATGTGAAATGTAATAAAAATTACAAAATATTTCGAAAATTTCAAGTTTTTATTTGTTTATTTATGATTTAAAATCATTCTTAAATTAATCAGAATCGCATTCTTCTGGAAGTATGCACAAGCCGCTTGGAGCTCTTACATATCCGTATTTGCAAAAACAACCTGGAACACACATTTTTTTACAGATCCTTACTGGATTTCGGTAACTTTCGCATGTGACTGGACACGCAATTCCACATTCGTTATATTCTTCTAAAGCTCCACAGTCATCATCACCTGAAAACAATGAAATATTAAAATTATGATTTATTGCTGAATATTCAAGTGGTATTTTGCGATAATTCGAAACAGATCTGCGAAGATTTTTCCATTTATCTCCATTGTAATGCAATGAATTGAAAACCTCAGATTTGTATTTGTTAACGCATGATATAACACTACGATATGAATTCGTGTTTGGATTCGTTTAGGACAGGCGTGGCGAACCTATTGCATGCGTGCCCAAAGTGGAACAAAGGATAAATCATCTGGCACGTAACGTATCACGATTTCGATTTATCATCTGTCTTTTTCAATCGTTTTTTCGGTTTATCACTTGATCATCCTTTTGAAGTCACTTTGTTTACATTTATTGTAGTTAAAGCATATTCGTTTAATTTATTTAAAATCTTTGGCACGTATAAACATCTTTAAAAGTAAGTATGCTTACTCTATGGCACGTAGGCTCAAAAAGATTCGCCATCCCTTATTTAGGGCAATGAAACTCGTGGAATATCTGCCGAGAGGATGTCTCTCGGAAGGAGTTTTAAGGGAAACTGGCCCATATTTAGATGTTACAATCTTCACGTTTCTAACAGCTAGATAGTTCAGTGGTTTTATTCACTCGGTCATTGGTGGGCACCACGATAAGGACTATTGGTTTGTTTGTTTAGTTAAGTTATATGGCAACGCAACACTTGGGCGGTCTGCCTAGAGGGAGATGCCTTCCAGGAGGTCTTTTTAAGGGTTAATGACCCGTATTCAGGCGTTCCCTCGGCCAGCCACTCCTGGCGAGGCGCGAACCCACGACCGTTCGAACTCCCAGTGTTCAGGGAACGGAACCGCTTGGCCACTAGTGGGCAAAAGGACTATTGAACAAGGATTATCATGAATATTTATGGCGATTTATTGAGAGGAATGAGATTCACAGTAGGGTTGACCTCATTGTAGGGTGAGATCTATAATCTCGTCTTACAATGAAGTCAACTCTCTTGACGACCGGATAGCCAAGCGGTTAAGATGTCAGCCTACTGCTCTGGGAGACCGAGGATCGAATCCGGACAGGTTGAAAAGTCTAAAATAAAATGGAGACCTGTCTAAACGGGTAAAAATTCTTATGAAAGCAGCGATTTTCTGTTAATAAAAGCACGTTCAAAACTGGAAACCTGCCAAACAAGTAAAAATGTTATGTACAGTATAACTCCGGTTTACACAGTTTCCGGCCATATGATGATTAGTCGTAACCCAAACTATTTACAGTTACACAAATACGTAACCTATTTCATCAAAATGATATCGTATTTCTTCCGAACATTTAAAGAGAATGCTATTTCTAAACATACTGCTATATAGTCAACTACTCTTTCATATCTTTTGCTGGGACTGAAATTTTCATTCTAATCAGGAGTGACAGAATATATCGGAAGGTTGTTAATTATAAAAGAAAATTTTTCTTAATTAATATTATTATTGTTATTATTAAAACNAGATTTAAATTATGATTTATTGCTGAATATTCAACTGGTATTTTGCTATAATTCGAAACAGATCTGCGAAGATTTTTCCATTTATCTCCATTGTAATGCAATGAATTGAAAACTTCGAATTTGTATTTGCTAATGACACGACACCACGATATGGACTATTCGACATCAATCACCATGAATGAAAAAACCCCAATTTCTTATTCATGATGATTTATTGGGAGGAATTAAACTCACAATAGGGTGACTTTATTATAGAATTATATCTATAATCTTATCTTCTTATCGGTCAGATGATCGAGTGATTAAAGATAAAGAAATCCCAGAAACTTTTTGGGGATGAACCATCCTGATATATTGACCAATCGACTGACCCATTATGGACCCATTATCACCTCTCATGCCCACAGGGAGGAAAATTAAAAAAAAATATATCGTTCTCTTAACAGGCCGACTAATTTCAGTTGATTAACATGGATAAGGAACAGGAAATATCAACTTAACTCTAGCTATTCACGAATTTCAGAATGAATTCAACACGAATCCATTTTGTAAAAACTTTTCATTGTAAGAAATACGTAAAATAAGTGTTCAATATTTTTATTGGGAAGAAAATTCTTGTATTCTCATGCAACGAAAGAATATCAGCTAATTTGAACACTTTTGTGCAAACTGTGCAAATAAAAATAATATTAAACTATACCTTACCGTGAGGACAATAGCAACAGCAACGGCAGTAACGAATAAGAGAATGGTTTGCATCTTGAAAATTTGATTCTGAATCGAAAAAGAGGATTTATATGTATATACAAATTTTCGGACTGAGCAAGGGACATCTGGTTTACGATGTTACTGTTATTTTAGATGATCAATGATAAGATTAAGAAACAAGGTTTTTCAAATATTTATACAAGGTTAATCGATAAAAGCGTTAAAACTTTATTTAATTAGATTTTATATACAGTACTGTATATTAAAAAAACCCCCGAAAAATCCACTGGAACGAAATTTATTCTGTTTTCACAGTATTTAATTATACGATTGTTAATATTTACCATAGGACTCTAGTACTTATGAAACCGTGCCGGTAATTGTTGTGCAATCAGAAGAAGATGCATAAGAGTCAATATCAAGAAAACAGATACAGGAACAAAGTGCAAGGAAAGATCTATAAACATTTCATAGATTTAGCATAGGCTTAATCTCCAATTTGTTTTATATATTTGACCCTTTCCACCCTTTGGATATTAAATCCTTGACCCCCGACATCTTGTTTACGTTAATATCGCCTGACTGACCTATATTGCCTCCTAAGGTAATATAGGTCAGTCAGGCGATATTATTTTAAAAATTTACCAAAAATCAAATTATCATTATATTCTTATGAAANACACCTAGATAGTTCAGTGGTTTTATTCACTCGGTCACTGGTGGGCACCACGATAAGGACTATTGGTTTGTTTGTTTAGTTAAGTTATGGCAACGCAACACTTGGGCTGTCTGCCTAGGGGGAGATACCTTCCAAGAGGTCTTTTTAAGGGTAACTGCCTCCTATTTAGGCGTTACAGACATGGAGAAAACCCGTCTGTAACGCCTCCACGGGGCTAGCCCGTCCTGGCCACGTGGAGGCGCGAACCCACGACCGTTCGAACTCCCAGTGTTCAGGGAACGAACCACTTGGCCACTAGTGGGCAAAAGGATTATTGAACAAGGATTATCATGAATATTCATGGCGATTTATTGAGAGGAATGAAATTCACAGTAGGGTTGACCTCATTGTAGGGTGAGATCTATAATCTCGTCTTACAATGAAGTCAACTCTGTTGACGACCGGATGGCCAAGCGGTTAAGATGTCAGCCTACTACTCTGGGGAGACCGAGGATCGAATCCGGACAGGTTGAAAAGTCTAAGAAATTTTTCGGGGGTGGTCTGTCTCGATATATCGGTCCTTGTCCCTCACCAACCGACCGTCCCATTATGGATCTGGCCGAATTCGTAATGTGTTTGACAAAAAGGTTCTTAGTACTCACAGGTTGGAGAAAGTTAAAAATTTCTCTTAAAAGCCGCCTATTTTCAAGGGAACAGGACTTTACATGGACAAGGAACGGAAAAACAGCATCCTAACCCTACCTATCCACGAATGTCAGAATGAATCCATCTTGTTAACTGAGAAATTTTCATTGCAAAAAAGTTTTCATGTTTTTATTACATCGAAAATTCGTGTTTTATCGTGCAACGAACGGCAAAATCAGTTAATTTAAACACTTTTTTGCAAGATATGCATATAAAAATAATATTAAATTATACCTTACCTCTTGCGAAAACAATAGCAACAGCAAAGACAGTAGCGAATAAAAGAATGGCTTTCATCTTAAAAATTTGATTCTGAATAGAAGGAAGAGGCTTATATATATATGCAAATTTTCGGACTGAGAAAGGGGCATCTGGTTTACAATGTTACTGATATTTTAGATAATCGATGATAAGATTAAGAAACAAGGATTTTCAAAAACAACTTATATAAGGTAATGAAAGCGTTAAATATTTAATAACTTAGATGATTCTATATATATAAAAAAACCCAAGAACCCGAAAAATCCATTGAAAACGAAATTTCTTCTGTTTTTGCAGTATTTAATTATAATACGGTATCTAATATATAATCGAGACCGGTTGATAATGATAATAATAATAGTAATAATAATAAGCGCAGAGCCCAAACGGTTAGGAGTTGAAAGTTGAAATTTGCTACACAGTTAGGGTACGTCACGAAAACCCACACTAAGAAGGGATTTTTCGAAATCACTCCGGGGAGAAGAGAGACAGGATTAAGGCTTAACACTTCCATCAACAATGGAAGTGTTAATTAACAATGGAAGTGTTAGTAACAATGGAATTGTTAAGAGAAAGCGACGTGCAAAGACGCAGATGCGGTTTTTTTTCGTTTTTGCGGGAAATCGAACATATTTTTAGACCCATCTAAAAATTCTCTAATCAGTCCGGAAACAGGGGGACCCAATTCTTGCATTCTGTGAAAACGGGTAAGGTTAACTATAACGTAATAATTTTAATCTTCGCTATCGTTACTTTTGCTGGAGCAACGCCGGGCCCATCTGCTAGTTATTAATATAAGAATCAGTTTTACTAAGATAGTATAGTAAAACGAAATACCATAATTTTCAGTACTGTCTTAAAAATATTCTGTACGAATGCCACAAATTCGTTTTTTAAATTTTGAGATTCTAATGAAACGAGAGGAAAAAAAACCATTTTTTTTATGTCAAAGATCGGGATCTTGAAATTGGTGATTAACTTTATAACGGTATTAATAAAATATGATATTATTAAAAATACACAGTAAAATTATAAGTGTAAATGATTTAAAACATACAAATGTACAAGTACCGTATATGTAGAACAAAAGTTTAAAACATGCAACTCCATTCAGCTCTTCAAGCTTAAACTGTGGTTCCCGATGCCTAATCCTCGGCGTGTAGAAGTTTTCGATTAATAAAATAGTAGATAAATTACGA